GTTGCTTTAGCCTGGCAATCTAAACAGCAACCGTTGTTCATTTTTCAGATCACGTTTCGACTGCTTTCAAAGAAAAACAAGAGAAAATGAATTAGAGAAACTTGAAGAACTTCTTTTGGGTTTTACTTATAGAATCGTTTTGGTAATATATCATCAAGATCACAAAACCCTACGGTTATGTAATATCATTATCTTATCTTACATCAAATGAATAATTAAGATTCTATCTTTATGCTCTTAAATCCTGGGGAAAATCTTCTTTCCATATGTGTAATGAAAATTTCTAAAAGTAAATCTTTTGAATCCATTAAAAGCATAATGATCACTGATTTGATGATTTAATGGAATATACTTTATTGAAAATATGATAACACAATATTACATATACAAAGATCATAGCTTGAGTTCTAAGCAGTAGAATTGATGGTTTCAAAAAGAGTGCAACTGTACGGCTTCATCTCATACACTACCAGTTGCTGCATCTGTTCTTCCGCTACAACGGGCTCTCCTTCGACAGAGAAAAACCCCGGGAAAGGAAGAGCTGTATCGACCATTCGCCTCCATTTGCTTCCATCTGGAAGTGAAGGTAAGATGACATTCTCAGGATGGTCACTAGCATTGAATCCAATGAACAGATCATTGTTCTTTGGCTCGGTTTGCTCAACCAACGACGCGGTTGTTTCTTCCTCTGTCTCGGCTTTGATTCCCAATGCCAAGAATTTGGAAGTAGGGTCTTCCCAATTCGGAGTTGTTTGGTCATTTGCATACCAAACAATGTTCTCAGGTTTCAGAAAGTTTCTCCTTTGCAACACATCGCTTCTCCTCGCTCTTACTGAAGCCATGAAGGAGATGAATTGCGTGATCTGTTTACCAAAAGCTGAAGCTAACATGTTCCAATCAAAGGGTTTCCGTGAGTTTAACAAAGGTGATCCCTTTGTAGAGATTCCGCATTCATCTCCCATGTTGAGCACCGGAATTCCGAGTGAAATGTACTGTATAAACAAGAAATTGCGGATTTGTTTTAGCCTTCTTTGAAGAACAGCTGATTTGTTTGTTGCTCCTTCTTCCCCACAATTCCAACTTAGCTCTGACGCTAGCTCAGGGCCACTGAAACTAACCAAGTCAACAAGAGAGAGTCCAGAGTTTCTGGAAATATAGTTGAAAGAGAAAGCAGGACCTCTTCCATCGGTGAATATGTCACCGCTTCCACAAATTCTTGTAGCCAGGTCGCTAAGAACGCCTCTCCCCCTCACAAAGTTCCTTACATTTCGACAATATCTTGTATTAACTTCCGCCCATCGCTTCCAATGTGGGAACCGTACTTCCTTTGGAATCATCATGTCATGTGGATTCCAGCAATCAGCAATTAGTTTGGTCTCTGCAAGCAGCGGATCGAAAGCTATTGCTTCGACCAAGGGAGGACGAGAGAGGTGTTCACCGTGAACACCTTTCAAGAGAGACGAAGCATTTATGAAACAAAATCCATCTACATGAAACTCGGTTACCCAATAACGCAGGCTCTCCAAAATCAACTGCTGAACAACAGGATAGTTACAGTTCAAGTAACTTTTAGAATCTAAAACATTGTCCCTTCCCTTGTAATAATAAGAACTGTCATCAATTCCGCGAAGAGCTCCCGAATCAGCAGTATGTGTAAAAACTACTTCTAAAAGTACCTCAATTCCCTGACTATGCAATTTCTTCACCATTTCCTTCATTGAGTTGACCGCAGATTCAAGGCCATTGGAAGGTCCATACATGTCCATCGGTGAAAAGAAATGAAATGGAAAGTAAGGACCATTTTGCTCGGAGAATGAAAATATTGGCTCCAAGAGAACAGCGTTGGTTCCAAGGGTTTTCAGATGGTTCACTTTCTCAGCTACACCAGAAAAAGTCCCTGCTACATTAGTGGGTAACTTGCTGGATTTGTGTTGTGTAAAACCCTTTACATTCAACCGGTAAACAACAAGTTTCTCCAGTGGTATGTTTGGAGACGCATCTTCTCCCCAATCAAAAGAAGGGTTTTTGAACAAACTTCCAAGAAACTTCTGAGAGACGGATTTACCGATGACAGTGGAATACGGATCCAAAAGAATCTGCTCATCTTCAACATCGACTTCTTCTTCCGAGTGAGCCATCTCCTTGCAACGGTACCCATATCTCACAAAATCCCATGTGTTTTCAACTGAAGCATGCCAAACATCACCTGTACGATTGACATAAGGATCAAGATCAAGCTCTAAAGCAGGTTTATCGGCTGTGCTATCATCATACAAGCATAAAACCACGCTCGTTGAATTTCTTGAAAAGAATGAAAAATTCCAAGAGTCACCATCTGGCCCAGAAGAAATGCCTAATGGCAATGGATGACCAGCAGTAAAACCAACCGGAACACAGAAATTAGTGTCTCTATGAGTCAGCATTTCTAGACCATTCGGATCTGTTCTCGACACTAACTTCAGATGAAATGATAGGTAGAAAGGATATTCTTTCCCATCAAATTCTAGCCCTAGCATTAACTCAGACAAGGAGCTTTTCACAAAAGGTGTTTCTGTTGTTTGGGTTTGTGAATCTTGGGAAGAGTTTTCGAAATCTAGAGGCAAAAAACACGAAGAATCAGACCTGTATACACCCCAAACCATCACCAGTCTACTCTTGTCTTCACCACTTAGTTCCAAAGATGAAACATAAACCATAATGCTGTACTTTTCTCTCTTCTTTTCGACTTTAACTTTAACAAGAGCACCAGATTTCGTCCTGAACAAATAGGACGTTACCTTCTTTAGGTCATCGACCCGAGCACTCCTAGTAGATGCCTGTTCCTTCAGCTCGATAGAAGTCTTTGAAGCACAAATCTTGCTCAACCGGTAACTTTGCAACGCGCTTGTAACCAAATCCCCGGAAAAACGTTTTCTTGTAACTATCAGTGTCTCAGATCCAGGTTTAGTCTTGTTCTTCTTACCAGTTAAAAAACAAGCAGAAGGAAATCTCCATGTTCCAGAGATGCCATTTTTAAGAGTACAAGATCCTATCCCAACTGATAGTGACCAAGCAGCCATTATTTTAAGCAAAGCAGAAAACTTCTCTCTTCCCCTTTAAACTTTAGCAATCCAGGTAATGAATATCCCTAAAACAAAAACAATCTCTTGAAGTTTTCTTGTGTTATTGTTAAGAGTTGAGAATGCAGATCAAACACCAAATCTCTTTCTTAAAACTGAAATTAAAGAAAACAAAAAACAAGGAAAGGGGATAGAAAAATCGTAATCAGGCTTGAATTAAAACTTGCGTATCAGGTATGAATGGAAACAAAAGCTTCAAGTAATTGATGTCAGATTCTTCAAAACTAATTTTAGGTAAACACAATTATCAGCACAAATTGATCACGAATAAAAAAATCTCTCTATACCTTTAACCAGATGTAGCAGAATGAGCTCGAATCAGCTAAAAATCCCACCATAAACCACTCATCGAATCAAAGCCAAATTGTCATATCACAAAACCCACTTCGCAAAATTCTCCCTTTACGGCATTTCAAATTCCAGCACATTCAAAGAGATATCAAGTAGTAGAATCAAAAAGAACAAGAAGTCTCAGCAAGTGAAATAGAAAGAAAAGATAAAAAAAACACAAGGAAGCGTAAAGAAGAGACAAACGTCCAAAAAAAGTCGAGCTTACTGTCGCATAAGCATCATCACCGCCATTGAAGCAGAAAGACGAGATTTTGAGAAGAGAAAATTTCAGAGTGATTGAAACAGAGATAATCTGAGAATACCCATCTGATGAATTGAGTGTGTCCGTGAGATTAAAGATTTGATGATATTTTGGTTAAAGGTTTTGTCTTGTTCCTTCTACCAAGTTTTATTGCGTAAACTCAACGGACCTCCCAAGTTTAAGCTTTTTGTTTTTGGAGTCTAGTTTGTGTAGGTCCCATCACTTAAACGACGTCGTTATGAGCGACATTCAAAGATTGATTAAATAATGATTTGCTCTATCATTTTGGATTAGTGTATAAAAAGAAGTTATGAAACACTGAGAAAATCCATAAGCTCACAAGTAGAATAAAGGTAGTAGTACCATTTATACAAACCCTGAACCAAATTTGGTCTTAAAAAGTAGTGAATAAATCCACTTTATTCTTTAGTTATAGCATTTTCTAATTCGATAAGAAGAACCATCCATCTATATACATTATTCAGCACCAACCCACCTTAAAGATCGGTCTCCTTGTCAAAGATGATGTCCCATTCCCAACCATCTTCAAGACGCTCTCTGCGAACATCTTTCTTCTTTTCTTCACCCCATTCCCAACCATCTTCAAGACGCTCTCTGCGATCACCTTTCTTCTCTTCTTCGTTCATGGTTGCTTCTGGGGTCTTGTTGATGCTTGAGGTTTCTGCAGGCACCTCATTAAATGGCTCAGAAGGAGTATACATCACCAAGTTTCTCACAAATGAAGCGTATGAACTAGTCTGGCTCGAGATTGATTCGGTTAATGACACTCGTTTGTCGAACTTCTCTTTCAACAGCTTCACATCTTGACAGATCACAGAAATTTCCCCCCTGATCAAAGAACCAAGAGAGATTAAAACATCCATTTGAAAGACCAGATGATTACAAGTATCACGAAAAAAATTATAAAAGGATTCATGGGTGTTTAGACTGATGGACCAAAGTGCGATTGGTAGGTCGAGAATGGGACTTACTGTAAGGAATCAACAATCCTACCACGATCCATAAGAAACTCTCGAAGCTGCACGCCGAGAAGAAAAAGAAAGACAGGATTAAGAAGAATTTTCACTTAAGAGGAAACTCGTGTCTAGTGTTTATAATAGTGAATTTTACCTTGGAGTTTTCCTCTGCCTCCTCCTGTAGAAGCTTTGATTCTTGGGCTACTTTCTCCATAAAGGCTTCTTGTTCAGCAAGCGCCTTAAGTGCAGAGTCTTCTTTTTCTTTCTTTTCTTGCTCAGCAGCCTTTTTCAGCTCCAATGCTGCCGCTAGTCTTATTTCAAGAGTTTCACGCATCTATAAAGACACACAATTAGAAAAATCTCTAGAGAGTGAAACAGAAAAGAAAAAAAACAGGAGACAAAATTTCTAACCAGCAGATGAAACGTACCTCGTCAAGGACAGAAAGAGATTTGTTTCGTTCTTCTGATAAGCTGAGCAAGCGGTTTTCAAGCTCTCTTAATTCAGTGGCCAAAATTGACTTCTCTCCATATACTTCTCCAGCATGCTGCAACATCGAAGTAAATTAGTTCTCATTAAACAATCAAGTCATATTTAGCAACATGTCTAAGCACATTATAGGTAATAATAATATTACCATGTCATTTGCTTCCTTTGCATGTTCAAGCATCTTCTTGAGCTCTTCAACCTTTTCGAGGGTATCCAAACCTCCCATAGCAGCTTCCACCTTTAACTTCTCCGCATCATTCTCTTGAAGTTCAACTTCTTTCATCAGATTCATAACAGAGTCCATCACAGTGAGCAAGGTTTTCTGCATCAGTGCACAATTACAAAAAAAGAATCATGTTACAGCATCCATTGCAAATTCTCATTTTGAAAAAAGAATAACATTCCGATCAGCTTTTCTGGACCTCAGCACCAGTGAACACAACTCTGACCTCTGTAAGCAAAAGTAAAATAATTTCACAGGCTTAAAGAAGGTTAAGAATATATGTCAGTCAGTATACCTTGTTACTTTTGGCATCTTCGATGATCTCTTCAAGGTGCTCAACACTGCATCCCTGAGTTGATGAGATAAAAGCACCACCTAATTCAGTATCGCCATTTTCACTGGCCAATGAATCTTTTGAAGTCTTGTCCACAACATTTGTACTCCCAGTCCTAACTTCAGAACATGAATCCTGCTGTATGCCTGTCATATTGTCTCCAGGAATTAAATCGACCAGCTTCGGCACAGCATTTTCTGAACATATGCTTGTGCTTGATTCTTCTTGATTCCATGTCATATGATCAAGATCTTGCCAAAAATCACTACCAAATTTGACGTTGTCTTGGGCGACAGCAGAGACCACTGAGGCAAGATCATCATCTGGCACGTGCAAGCCAATTGTTGCTTCGCTCGGAACATCAAAACACTTACCAAAGAAATCATAGTTGCTGTGCTCTTTTCCAGGAGCCTTACTCAAAGATTGGACTTCCTCACTTTTGACATCTTTAGGGGAAACACCACGACCAACATATAGTGGCACATTTGTTGGTTCATTCCTATCAGAGACCAGTTTAGTACTTAGAGCATCGGTATTATGGCCACGTCCAACAACCAGGGGGATCTTTGCTGAAGAAGAAGAGGCGCTGGACTTTGAACCAGTTTTGACATCTTTATGGTAGACACCAAGACCAGCATATAATGGCAAATTTGTTAGCTCATTCCTATCTGAGACCAGTTTAGTACTTAGAGCATCGGTATTATGGCCACGTCCAGCAACCAGGGGGATCGTTCCTGAAGAAGAAGAGGCGCTGGACTTCGAACCAGTTTCGACATCTTTATGGTAACCACGACGACGAGCATATAGTGGCATAGGTTTTACACTGGTCCTATTTGAGACAAATTTAGTACTTGAAGCACCGGTATTGTGGCCACGTCCAATAACCAGGGGGATAGTTTGCGAAGAAGAAGAGGCATTGGAGTTTGAAGCAGGCGCTACAAGAAAACCACGGGACCTAATAACAACATCTTCCAAATTACGTTCTACTGCATTTTGAACAAGCAATCTATTAACATATGTCCTCTGGATATAAGAGAATGAGAAACGTTGAGCTGTGAATGTATAAGCCAGAGCAACATGGTTATTTTTCATGGGCTAAAGTTTGTACCTTCGCTCTTTGCAATATTGCCAGATGAGATGTTGTTCCAAGATTGAGTAAAATTATGAGACGAATTTGAGGGCAACGAAGGAACAATGTCTGAAAGAACTACAGCAGCAGCTTCATCAGCATCCAACGGGTGTTCTATTGCAACAGCCCTCAAAAGGCGTGAATCAATCTGCAGTGGATTATTTTGTACAATGTGGATTAGATTACAAAACAAATAAAATCTATTTAAAAACACAAAATGAGAGATGATTAAGCCAATGTCTAAAATGGTGTCAAACATCTTGGAAATGAAAATATTTGGATCATATTAATATATCTAGTTCACACAATAGCAATCGAATAAACATGTTCATTGTGCGTTCTGAGATCAAGAATGAATGCTTTCACGATCTCACTGCTTAAATTATAACAAAAGTTGTGAAGTAACATGAGATAAAAAAGATCGGGTTTTTTTTTTACCTGAGGAAATATCTCAGTAAGAGATTGGTAAACAGAACTGAAACCCATCAGTGAAAGCTAAATAACTCTGCAGGAAAACAAGACAAATATTATGTCAGGATAGAATGATGATAGCATCCAAGCATATAACCAGTAAAGCCAACCATCAACGACAGATAAAGGAACAAACTTTATGAACGTCTAGTATTTCCGGCGTAAACCACTAAAAACCCTAATTTTTTCCGGCGATAAACAGACAGACGAGAGAGAGATACGATCATACAAGTGAAGAGAGGGGGGGGGGGAGAAGCAAAAACGGAGATCACAAAACCTATTCACAAGAAAGAGATAAATCCAGTCGTCAGAATCGAATGGATCATGAAACGATCAACCTATACTTTAAGAAACGACATCGAAAAACATCGAAATTCACACAGAGAAACGAAATTTTGAAAAACCGATGATCAGATTTCCTCGATTTTGTGGGTTTTTTCAGAGATAAACGAATCAAATAGCAGAAAATAACACAAACCGTTCTGAGATTTGTGGGGTAATAGATCGGTAGCGAGAGCTAT